AAAAAAAGAAAAAGAAGAAATGTTGCCTCTCAAATTACTAATTATTTTCATTCATTTCCTCAAGTTTTATTGCCCAATAATTTGCTAAAGCTGATGCTCAGCATAAAATTACTTGTTATCACATTCAGCTGGTAAGTTTCAAACCAAAAATGGTAAAATTTGCTAATAGTATATTTTTTGGCGCCGTGTCAAGTGTTAGGTACCTGTGCTATGTACTTAGTTTCTGATACTCTTCATTATCAAAACAGCCCTTAAAAAGAGATATTTATTTTCTCATTTCATGCACTGCAGATAAAGAACCCCAAGCTCACTACTGAGCAGTGTGTCTGAATTCACCCAGCAAATAAATAGCTGACTGCCATAATTTGAACCCAACTCTGTTTGATTCTGAAACTAATGTGCTTTCCATATAAGGGAACGTCTAGGAAGCTAAGCAGGCAAAACTGTTGCTTTATGAATTATCAAAAATGGCTTGCAGACCTCTGTCAATATCTCACAAATGCCCAAGCGCCCTAGAGTTCTATCCTAGGAACCTGTAGGCATGTTCAGCTTCTTTTTATAAATGAAACAACTAAGGTCCAGACAGCAGGGCCACCTTATGACATTCTTGGAGCCTAGGCACGTCAGCCTTCTGGGGCCTCATCGACTGTAAGAAAATATGAATCGCTATCACTTTACCTTGTGTAGTAGAAAGACAAAAATATTAATATTATATATTAGAACATTTTCTTTGACCTAAAATTTCATTTTTTTCTTCTGATTTTTTTAAAAGAAACATTTTCATAAAATGAAAGCTCAGCACCCTGCTTGCTGTGCCCACTGGATAACTTGGTCCTACCAGAGAGGTTAAGAGATATGCAATTTTTTGACCACTTACTAGGTTCTCCATACCTATATGTTTTATAAAACAAGATTATATACTATCTATATATATGTGCATGTGTGTGTATGTGTACATATATATAGCATCTATGTATATATACACATATATATACAGCATGAGAGATTATATGTATAATTAGCTTTATAATATGGAATTAGCTCACATGATTATGGAGCTTAGCAGTCCCATGATCTGTCGTCTGCTGGCTGGAGACCATGAAAAGTGGGTGCAGTTCACAGGTAATCCAGTGATACAGATTCCAGTCCAGGTCTAAAGGCCTAGAAGCAGGAGCACCTAGGCAGGGGAAGGTAAGGGTCCAAGCTCACAGCCAGGCAGATTAAATGACCCCGTGGACATCAGAAAAGGCCAATGGCTTTACTCGGTCTACCCCTAAATGCTGATCTTCTCCAGAAACACCCTGACAGACACACCCAGAGATAATGTTTAACTAGATATCTGGGCATCCCATGGCCTAGTCAAGTTGACACATAAAATTAATCATTGTAAGTATTTGCATATTTATATATATTGTTGATACCATTAAAGCTGAGAGCATCAGGCAGGACATATTCTTTATATTTTATACTTTTTAGTATTTAATATTACATATATATATATTTACTGAAAGTCCATGGGTTTGAAGTTAATGTCATCCAAAAACACCCTCACAGAAATACACAGAATAATGTTTGACCAGATATCTGGATACTATGTCCCAGCCAAGTTGACACATAAAGTTAATCATCACCTCATCCAGTTGCTCCAATCTCTTCCTCTTTGGTCACATTGCTACATTTCTTCCTCCTCTTCTATCTGTGTGTCTTCTCCATGTGTCTGCTTTATAGAATACATGTGACTGCATTTGGAACGCACTTGGATAAAGAAGGATAAGCTCTTCCCTACAAGATCCTCAACCGAATTATATCTGCAAAGACCCTATTTCCAAACAGGATAACAATAACCCTTGTACCCTATAGATAATATTCACAATGTCCAGCAGTTAGAATGTAGATCATCTTGGGGCTACCTTTCAGTCTACTATATTAACCCCATCAAAAAATAACACCTCATTCTCCTAAAGTTTCATACAGCTTGTCCATATATAAATATTTTTTGGTTATATCACTTCATAGTCACTCAAAGACAAGTGTGAATCACTCTACTCCACAGCAGGCTCCAGGCCAGCTGCTGGGGTCACAGAGAAGCCTAAAGATGGTCCTGGCTCCTAACAAGCTCACTACCTAAGAAAAATGCATATATAAAGAAATAATCCCAATTCCAATATATGTATGATATGTGAAATATGCCAGGTATACCTGTTTGCTCTCAAATCACCTTGTACGTCTTCCCATGACTGCCTTTGAAACATCACTATAATCAGCTGTTTACATGCCCATATCCCTCACTAGACTCCAACTCCATATGTCTTTTTTAACTTCTATGTCCCTAGTGTCTAAAACAGATGGCTAGCTTCGAGTAAATGTTCGGTGAAGTATATTGAATTAATTAACTAATCTAACAAAACCATTATACTCCTACTAAGTGCCAGTACTTTTCTAGATGCCACATGTATAGCAATCTACAGTCATCCCAAAACCCCTCCCCTAATGAAGATCTGTGAAACCCAAATGGGTGAGTGAACACACACATGGACTAATTCACAGTTGAACAAGGTGCTTTGGAAGGAGAAAAAGAAGCAGCTCTTTTGCTGGAGTGGGTAAAATAAGTGCTATGTATTCGACTCTTGGAAGGATTTCAAAAGAAAGGTGAGGGCAGGAAGAGCCCACAGATGTGCTGAACAGCATGATGGTACCTGACTGATGGGTCACTGGCCTCATGATCCCTGAGGAAAGAGAGTTTTGTTGCTTTATTTTCCATACTTCTATGTCTAATGTTACACTCAGTGTCTTGGAAAGAGAGTGTTCTCCAATCTCAGCAACTCTGTATATTATTGTGCTATTCCTTATGGTAGCCAGAACCTCCTAATGGCTATTTAAATTTAGTTAATTAATATTAAATGAAGTCCAAACTTCATTTCCTTCGTTGCATTAGCTGCATTTCAATTGCTCAAGAGCTGCATGTGTCTCATGACCACTGTGGTGGAGAGTACAGATAACACAACCAGCCCTGCAGAAAGTTCTGTCTGACAGCACCAGTCTAGAATGAAGGAATGAACTAATGGTAATGTCTTCACATGTGAGACCTGAAAGGGTCCTTACATCTCATGAATTCAATTTCCTCACTTTACGTTTGGAGACGCCAAGACCCAGACAAGCAAAATACGTGCCAAATTGCATGCCAAATTGATCCCAGGTGTGTTATTTCATGATGAGTTGGGGTCTTTCCTCTGCACCACATTTATGCTCAGTCATACTACACTTGGCTTTTGCTGTAACAATTTTCAAGAGGAGGTTTTATTGTAAAGTATTCCCTTGTAGCAAAATTCACCAAGGGCTTTCTTGTGTGATTCTGGGCAATGTGGAATTTACCAGACAGGCCTGGATAACTGAATCAAAGCCTATCCAGTCATCAGATCAATTGGGACAACTGATTAGATTAAGGACTAGGTTCAGCGCTGTCACCTGCTGAAAACCAACAGTCAAGAGTTACAGTGACTAATGATTAGAGATGTGGAAAGAATACCAGGGAAATGAAAGAGAGACCGTGAATTGCAGCAGGAAGCCTTGCACTGGAGAGGCTTGAGCTCACATCCCGTCTGCCTCTTTACATCGTGGCCTTTGGTAGATTCCCTTTTTTACACTGAGGCTGTTTCCTTATCTATAAAATAGAAATAATGACACTAACATTAGTAACTGGCTTTTCATATTAAATATTACTACCTTAGTCCATTCCAGCTGCTGTAACAAAATACCACATACTGGACGCTTATAAACAACAAAAATTTATTGTTCACAGTTCCGGAGGTTGACAGTCCAAGATCAGGGTGCAGGCCTCTTCCTGGCTCATAGTTGGCATCGTCTTGCTGTGTCCTCACATGGTGGAAGGGACTAGGAACCTCCTGGGAGCCTCCTTTACCAGGGCACTAGCCCCGTTCCACCCTCATGATCTAAGCATCCTTCAAAGGCCCAACTCCTAATACCATCATCTCTGAGAGTTAGGATTCAACATCGGAATTTTGGAATGACATAAACATTCATACTGCACCATTACATAGCAACTGACTGAAAAAAGTAAAAAGTCTGGTAGTTTCACAATATGCTAATATTAGAAGGAGAAGGAGGAGAAGCAGGAAATGGTGAAAACTATTAGAAAAGCAGATACAGACATAATAATAATAAAAACAAATACAGAGAACTCATGCACCACTGATCTAGATGTCTTGCTTATATTAATCCATTTAATGCTCACCACAAGCTCGTGAAAAAGATACTAATATTATTCTTCTTTTACACATGCAGAAACTGAGGGACAGAGTGACTTACCTAAGATCATCACTAGTAAAAGAATAGGTAAAATCAAACCCAGTTGGTCTCAGAAAGTAGGCTGTTCACCACTGATTCCAAATGGGAGCCGCCCTGTGTCCCTCCAAGGCAGAGCCTTCTACAATCTCTCCACTCAACAAGAACCTATGAATGACTCTTTGTTGGAACTTAGAAATTAAGCTGTGGAAGGTGGGGAAGTGGACACCCAGAGTGCTACAGGGCGAGGGTTCCAGCCGAAACAGTGTGATGGTTTGGGGCACCTGGCTCCCTGCAGGCAGCCTCTGGGTCATTCTCAGGGGCTAGTCTGTGTTTTCTCTGTGGGTCTTGCCAGTGCAGCACTGACACTTGGTTGAGCTAAAATGCAAACAGCCACAGGTTTGGCTTGCTTCAAACCTCCTGAGCTCGTTCCTGTTTTGAAAGCTTCACAGGCTGTCAAAATGCAAACATCCTACCTAATAATTTTAGCCATGCAAAAGCATCTCCAGTGGAAAAGTGCCCATATCCAGTTTTCATTTGTCCATTTATGTAGTAAATATTTATGGCAGTTTACATGGGCCAAGGACTGTGCGCTGGGAAACATTGTAGACCAGGACCTTCCATAAGAAGCTCAGAGCTGGTGCAGGACACAGACATGTAAATAGAAAATCAAGTCTTTGCAATTTGGTGAGGAAAGTCTGTATGAGAAAAACAACAGAAGGACAAAGGGGCGAGGGGCCCATCCTACCTGAAAGGCCAGGGAAGATGCCCCTGACACCCAACTCAGTTATTTTTGGATGGCGTCCCCAGCACTCTGCAGGAGGATACCTCCACACGTTGCACTGGGCTAGGCTGGTCTCTGGCTTTCTGAGATGTGTGAATTTCTTCTCCTGTTTCTGTTTTGAGAAACATTAATGAACATTTGCATTGGTTAATGTCTGGCTGTCTGCCCTATTTGGCTTAATTCAAATTTTGAAGCGAATTCTGAGGGGTGGGTTATTTTTTCCAATTCCTTAATTAAACAGCTAAAAAGCTCCATGAGATTCATTCATCTTTGTATCTCTTTAAATGACTTTCACTGAAAGGGCCACTGTTGAAGTCACCACTCTTCTTTAAATATTATTTCTACTGTGTACTCTAGCTGTTTATTTTTATAGTTCTGTGTTTTTGACCTAAAGCTTTTAACCTTGTGTGTGTACCCTGAAATGACTTTATTGCAAAAGGGTTTGGTGTATAAATCTAAATAAATAATATTTAGTCATAACAGAAGGAAAAGAAGTATCAGAACTGCCTGTTCCCTCCAGAAATGTAATGGCAAAAATGAAAAAGTGTGGGAAGCATCATGTAAAAGAGTGGCTGCAGGGGGTAGCACAAGACGTTAAAAGCCTGAAATAGAATTGAGAATAACGCCTAGGAAGGAGAATATGCCAGGGACATAGGGGGTGCCTGGGATGTAAAGGTTAGTAGAACCAACATCATGAAAGAGGTATTAACGGGGGGCCCCGAGATGGGAGGAAATGCCCCTGCTGTAACTGGCCGGCAGGTAAGAGGACTGAAGGAGAACTTCTCTACCTTACGGCAGGAGCTTGTGCTCTTACATTGTGCAACACCACTTCAATATTAAGTCATTTCTATCATGGAACTGTCAAAGGCATGTCTCTTAGGAATTTGGATTAAGGAATACAGGGAATTGTAAGCTCTTAAGCAGAAAGGCCCTTTGAGTTCATGTCTTTCATTAATACCCCAATTGTTCACCCCCGGGAATTCCCTTTTAATTATTTTCTTTTTTGTGTGAATACCATACTTAGAAATATATTTCTTAGTACTAGATTGTGACAGACCAACATTCCTACTGTGCAAAACTAGAAAAGCCAGATCAAAAAGTCATCAAAGAATTGCAGAGGCCACCAAGATCTGGGTAGTTGGACCAGGGAGTGGAAGGAATCTCCCGGACCAGGGAGTGGAAGGAATCTCCCGGACCAGGGAGTGGAAGGAATCTCCCGGAGCCCTCTGGCTGATTAGCTGCCAGCAGAGGCTTGCATGCCGCAGGGCTCCTAACGCCTACCTAATGTGCTACCCATCAGGGACTTCCCGCCCTCCCTGTCGCTCCTGGTTTCACGCCATCTCCTGGCCTCCCCTGTTTCCGCATCTTCACTCTTGCCCGAAAGAACCTGGCACCATGTCAGCATCTTCGGCTATCAGTTCTCACCTGGAAAGGACGGTGCCTGGGAACTTCTTACGGATGCTGGTGCCCCTCTCCCATCATTCCGTTCTGGGCCCCCCTTAGTGCAGGGACCCAGCCAGGGGCTGGCCTCTCTGGTCCTTTGTCAGCTCAGGAGGCCATAAAATACCACTAGCTGGGTGGCTTAAACAGCAGGCATTTATTCTCTCGCACTGTGGATGTTGGAAGTCCAGGATCAAAATGCAAGCAGATTTGGTTTCTGGTCTCTTTCTGGCTTGCAGATGGCAGCCTTCGGGTATTTGACATCAACATATGAATTTTGGGGGAACAAAATTCACTCCACAACAGGTACAGACACAATAAATTGATGCCCTTAGCTCTTACTTCCTCCTAAAGATATTCTTCTAAGCCTGTTCCAGCATTTCTTCTTTATTTGATCTAGTAAATGAATTTAAAAAATGAGTAACATCAGAGTTACCAAACTTCACCTCAAGAAGAATGGCTATAGGGAAAAAAAGAAAAAGAAGAAATGTTGCCTCTCAAATTACTAATTATTTTCATTCATTTCCTCAAGTTTTATTGCCCAATAATTTGCTAAAGCTGATGCTCAGCATAAAATTACTTGTTATCACATTCAGCTGGTAAGTTTCAAACCAAAAATGGTAAAATTTGCTAATAGTATATTTTTTGGCGCCGTGTCAAGTGTTAGGTACCTGTGCTATGTACTTAGTTTCTGATACTCTTCATTATCAAAACAGCCCTTAAAAAGAGATATTTATTTTCTCATTTCATGCACTGCAGATAAAGAACCCCAAGCTCACTACTGAGCAGTGTGTCTGAATTCACCCAGCAAATAAATAGCTGACTGCCATAATTTGAACCCAACTCTGTTTGATTCTGAAACTAATGTGCTTTCCATATAAGGGAACGTCTAGGAAGCTAAGCAGGCAAAACTGTTGCTTTATGAATTATCAAAAATGGCTTGCAGACCTCTGTCAATATCTCACAAATGCCCAAGCGCCCTAGAGTTCTATCTTAGGAACCTCTAGGCATGTTCAGCTTCTTTTTATAAATGAAACAACTAAGGTCCAGACAGCAGGGCCACCTTATGACATTCTTGGAGCCTAGGCACGTCAGCCTTCTGGGGCCTCATCGACTGTAAGAAAATATGAATCGCTATCACTTTACCTTGTGTAGTAGAAAGACAAAAATATTAATATTATATATTAGAACATTTTCTTTGACCTAAAATTTCATTTTTTTCTTCTGATTTTTTTAAAAGAAACATTTTCATAAAATGAAAGCTCAGCACCCTGCTTGCTGTGCCCACTGGATAACTTGGTCCTACCAGAGAGGTTAAGAGATATGCAATTTTTTGACCACTTACTAGGTTCTCCATACCTATATGTTTTATAAAACAAGATTATATACTATCTATATATATGTGCGTGTGTGTGTATGTGTACATATATATAGCATCTATGTATATATACACATATATATACAGCATGAGAGATTATATGTATAATTAGCTTTATAATATGGAATTAGCTCACATGATTATGGAGCTTAGCAGTCCCATGATCTGTCGTCTGCTGGCTGGAGACCATGAAAAGTGGGTGCAGTTCACAGGTAATCCAGTGATACAGATTCCAGTCCAGGTCTAAAGGCCTAGAAGCAGGAGCACCTAGGCAGGGGAAGGTAAGGGTCCAAGCTCACAGCCAGGCAGATTAAATGACCCCGTGGACATCAGAAAAGGCCAATGGCTTTACTCGGTCTACCCCTAAATGCTGATCTTCTCCAGAAACACCCTGACAGACACACCCAGAGATAATGTTTAACTAGATATCTGGGCATCCCATGGCCTAGTCAAGTTGACACATAAAATTAATCATTGTAAGTATTTGCATATTTATATATATTGTTGATACCATTAAAGCTGAGAGCATTAGGCAGGACATATTCTTTATATTTTATACTTTTTAGTATTTAATATTACATATATATATATATATATATGTATATGATTTATATTATTTTTACATGTAGACATTAAAGTGCCAAAAACTAATAGGATAATGTTTGCACTGTGGATCTGAATTGCTTCCCTAAAACAAAGAAAGAAAAGCAGACAAAGAAGAAGGAAAAGGATGAGGACGGGTGGAGGCAGGGGGCACATCTGAGTCACCACTGCACGTGTGGTCCGGTCTGTGTGAGTCTACATGTTACTCTCGATCCCTTCTCTTCAAGACAGACTTAGTCAAAACCATCTGCCAGCCGCTGTTGGTTAGCTGGGACTAATCCCAGTTTACTGTAAAGGTCTGAATGTGTAAGGAAACCTAAGGGTGGGGGTGGCGGGTGACAAACAAGAGCAAAAATGCCTTGCGAAGAGCCAAGGAAGCGTTGTAATCACTGGGGTCCTCCCGGAAGTGGAAAACCCTCATACTTAAGCCTGCTGATGCCACGGGTGTTGATTCATGCAAGTGGCTGCCACATGTTCTACAGGACTGAGCTAGCATTTCTGCTGTACACATGTTACCAAGATGTCCAGACAGCTCTACCTGCTACTCCACTGACGCCCTCTGAGAGAGCACGTTCCCGGACCGCTGGGCCTGCAGGAGGCGCACCTGGCCCTGGGCAGAAAGCAAAACGAATGGGGTGCCCGACTCTATTTGCAGCAGGAACCTGATGCCTTCCTGGAGCCCCCTTAAAAGCCAGGCACAAATGTCACCTTGCTCTGGTATTCTGCCCTTTCATTCCTGGTTGCACATGTGTGGGGTCCTTTTTCACCAGGGATGACCTGAAACAAATGTCCAGTCAAAATCCAACAGGCGACACACAGATTCCAAGTCTCAAATGGCCTCAACTGCTTTTGCAGCTGTCTCTGTAGAATTCCTCCCCCCGACACCAATAACTTCCTTCTGTCCCCCACCCTTTTATATTAAATCCTCCCTTTTAGCTCAAATAACCCGCAGTCTATGACCCTCCTTACTCTCTTCCTCTCATTAATTCTTTTTTCTATGGAAAGAGTTTAGTTTTTTGAAGTTCTGTTGTTTCTCTTGGAACCTCATGGTCATATCCCTTGTCAATAAAAACCTCATTGTGTAAGAAACAGCAGAGGAACGTCTGATGCAATAAAAGAAGGGATTGATTACAGAGGGAGATGGTGCATGTGCTGTCCCTGCTACTAGTTATCTGTTTGACTTCGGACATAGTGCACACCCTGTACCACCGCGTGCCGTGTCTCTGAGTCATAGTTCCACATCCATGAAATGGGGGATGAAACTACCTGAATCATTAATGGGGATGCAACATACAGTTAGTGGGAAAATGACCCAGTAATCGTAAAGCAAAGGATGCCATTAATATCACTGCTGGTTTGGTTAGAAATGTTTCTAAAAATTACAATGAAACAGGTAGCTTTGCTTCGAAAGCTTGTTGTGTTTTGTGTTTTATAAAGACATGGACACATCATATGGTGCAAAAATGAAAAGACATCAGACAGTCCAATATCCTTATTGATTATTTGTCCTGAACCAGATTGTTTAGTGAAGGAACATAATGACTATCCGAGTACCTTACTTTGATGTTAATTTTGTTTGTGATCAATTGATTTTCTAGGTCTAATATTAAGATCTGTTTTTACTCCCCAAGGCTTGGTTCAAATGATAAAATCTGAATGCAGGGAACCATCATACCCTACCTTGGGGCTGAAGAGAGCGAAGGATGTGGGGACATGCAAGACGTACAGTTCTTCCTTCTGAACATACTGTGCAGAAATGGCTTCTTTGCAACAAATTTTTAAGGTTACAGTTGCAATGAAGCTACCTAAGTCCAGAGTGACATGGTGGTAGAAGCGGTAGCGTGCAAAGTGTAATGGAAGCGTTGATTGTTAGATTCTGAGATACATAGAGACAGCCATCAAGATGCAGCACATTTTGAGGTTCTGCTCTTACCACACATTCAGGGCTGTGATATTAGACCAGGCGTAGCTTTCCCCTTGAGCACCACTCGTGTTGGTTGTATTGGGACAAATTAATATGTTCCTCCCGTCTTTCTTTTCCAGGAGGCTTCTCAATCTCTTTGCAAACACTAGAGTTTGGTTTTTCTAGTGGGGCCCACCCTTTATTTGTCCTGACTTGTCTCTTCCTATCATAAACTCACTATGGTATGCTCTGGACTTACTCTCTCTGCCACAACTCCCTCGGGTGCAGCTTAGCATCATGCCAGCACAGTGCAAAAAGCATTCTAAAAATGTTAGCTGTTAATATTAAACATTGTCAAGTGGCCCCAGGGAGAGAGGAGAAGCCACAATGCCTTTACTGACCTGGCTCCAGAAGTCATACGCTGCCACCTTCACCATACACAGTCGGTCACACAGCCAGTCCTGACTCAGTGTGTGAGGAGGACCACACAGGGTGTGGCTATCAGGAGGCGGGGGTCACGGGTGGAGGGCGCCCTGGGAGCTCGGTATTACATACATTGTCACCCATTTTAAAATCAGCATCTAAAATGTTTTTCGTTCAAATAGTTGTAAATGTTATACTTTTCTTGAGCATTACAAATTATTCAAATATGTATATAATTGTGTTAACATATACATCACAGTGAAAACCCTAGGTCTGTGGATTTAGCTCACTCAATATACATGTCCACCAGAAAATGAATTAGAAAAGAAATTTGGCTTCATTTTTAAAGTTCAAATAAAAATGTTTATGTTTATTTCTGTCAAAACATAGTTCTCAATTCTCAAAAGAGAGAAAGGGAGAGAGAGAGAGGGTAAGTCACCCAGCCTTTCTGTGTTTGCTACCTGGGTGCAGTGAGGCTTCACAGTTTCTTAAGGGGGCTCTCTTTGCTTTACACCAGAAACAAGGCTCCCTTTAGACAGATATATTTTCAAATTGTTCCTTTGTCTTAAGTCTGGAATATTTTTACACTTTGGGACAAGGTGCCATAAAAAGACTGAGTGGGCACATCTTAATTGTAGGAAGGGGCATAATGGAGGAAGGGGCATAATGGAAGGCAGGGCAGAGAGGAGACCGGGGTAGATCCCAGGACCCCTTTTGTAAGCACCTCGGTTTTAGGAAGTGTGTGCACACAGATCATGGATCTGAACGTGGATGAACTGAGAGCTGTCCTCGCCCCGGTGTCCTTGGCAGGTGGCAGGGGCACACACACCCCAGTTTGAGTAGCACGGCTTCACCTCACTTAGTGCAGTTCTAAGTACAATGTGGAGATCACGTAAGATGTGCTCACGAAGCACCTCTCAGAGAACTCTCTTTCTCAGAGCGAGGACCCGCAGCTGCAGAGAAGGGCCTTTGTATCGTGGGCTTTCCATCGTTCACGGAGGACCCCCAATGTGCTCTGCCTCTGTGACTCCAGCTTTTCAGGCAGTGCTGGCTCAGAGCAGGCCACTGGAGGGAACTGAGTGGCGTGGCACTGCTACCCCTCCCTCCATCCCCCCAATCATCTGTGGCCAACATCATTGATGGATTATGGCACATTTCCAACACAGCCACATGGCCTCAGAATCCTGCTCAGCACAACCCCAGGTGGGCCTCTCAGTCTATCAGATTCAGCACATCAGTTGGTCCCCATCTCGCATCCGGATGGCTGGCCCATTGATAAAATGTAAATAGATGTCCAACTGTCTGTGTGACAGTCTCTAACTTCATGGAACTAAGAGGCTAGTAAAGGTCACGTGGCACTTTTACTGCATTGCACTGGCCAGAGCAAGTCCTAAGGTCAGGGCAGTTTCAAAGCAATTCTTCTTCAAGTGCTTGGTTTCTCAGGAAGGCAAGAGGACACAGGGGGAGACTGTGGGTGCACTTTGTGGCTTGTGGGGGACAGGGATAAGAGCTGGTCCAGGTGGAGGGACAGGTTGAGGATGGAGTAGGATATGCTGAACGTCAGGAGCAGCTCTGAGGACCAGGCATCGGGCCTAAGTCTCTGCCAAGACCACTTTTCCCAGAGGAAGCCAGATCCCCAGGGGTCTCCAGAGACGCAGCTAAGTCACCTTGCAAGGGACGTGGTGCAGGCAGGGGAGGAATGATGGCCAGCCTCTGCCATCTAACACGTCCTCCCCACAGGCTGGCATTCTCCCATTCGCTCTCCCCTGCGAGACTGGCTCCTCAGTGGTTACTGCCGGGAGGGACGTATGCAAGTCAGGCCCCAGCATCAGTGCTTGGGATTTGAAGATGAATCATCTAAACCCTTGCCCTTAAGGAATTCACAATGTAAATAAAGAATTAAAGGACTCGTTTCAGAATGTGTGCAGTGGCTGTGCTCTGTGACAGCCTGTCTGGCTGGCCGATGCATGTGGCCCCGCCTCTCACCTGGAGGAGCTCAGAGAACACAGAAGGAAACAGAAGGAGCACTTTCCCTTCGGTGACACAGTAAGGGGGTTGTCACAGCACCTGGTGTTTCTCAAGGCTCTGAGGTGTCCTCATTGGTACACTGGTCTCCTTAAGGAAGGAGACAAAGTACAGGTTTGTAGCAAATGTGAAGCAAAGGGGGAAAGCAGACCTGAGGCCTGGTGGAGGACTCCCATTCGTCTGTGGGCTTATCCGCTGGTGAGGGAGGATCTGTCGTGAGCACGCCTCACCCTCCTCGCCATCTCGAGTGCCTGAATGGTGCCTGGGGGGAGTAGTCTGTATCCTGAGATGCTGAAGCATCTCAAAGAACTTCCACAGGACCACCCGACTCCTAGGATGCACTGTCCAACTCTTGCGAGGATATAAACATGGCCTTGTTTAACAATACGTGTTATTAAATTGTAAGTGTCAACTTTCATTTGCTGTATATGTTTATCATACCTGGCAGAGAATTATTGTAAATTAGGCAATACTCACTTGTAAACAGCAAAGGAAGATCTATTTCTTAATTTGAACTATGCACACAATACACACATACGCCAGGGGACAGACGCACGGTAGCTCTGTCATCAGCTCACTCTGCAGGGACGTAAAGGGGTCAATCCCTGAGCTTCAGTTTCTTTATCTGTAAGCAAGAGATACGAGATCATATTGGAGTCTCTGAGATCTTTTGTGCCTCCACCAACTGCTGATCCTCTTCTATTCTACGTTACAGTGGAAAACTCCAAATGTCACCTATCAGTGGCATTGTTACCAGTTTTTTTTAAAGCTTTTGAGGTCAGGTGGCATGTCAATGATGCTCCTAATTGGCCAGGAGTACTCACTTAGTGTAGTGGGGAGCACAGGGTGTGAAATAAATAGCTGTTGAATTAATGGATGAATCACTGAAGGTGAGCAGGCCAGCACTAGAAGAGGGCACAGTATTTGGGCAGGATTTAGTCTTCAGGCTGACAGTGAATCATGCAAATTATGCGTCTTGCCAGCAATGTCCCAGTCATTAGTAGAAGACAAATCCAAGCAGTGACATGACTCCTATGACCCAGTCCTTCTCGAAATATCAGCCAGGCCACTTCCTCATGTCACATGGCATAGGCCCTGGGAGTGAGCTCCTCTCCCATCCTTAGGAATGTGAGTGCCTGTCTCCCCAGAGATCCTCACATACACGCCCCGTAGCTAAGTCCTCTAGGGAGAGGCTATGGGAACAACCTCCGTCCTTACAGGAAGGAAGAAGGTTCAGCGAGGGCTGTGACCCACAGTTATTTTAAACCCAAGTTCTCTCAGTTCAAGCAGAGGTCATACTTCTTTCCTGAAGGGGGAAGATCCTGGAAGCTGGTAAGGTTTAATCAAAAGAATACCAGCTTGGACCTGGGAAGGTGCCTTCCCTCTTATCTCCTTGCCCGAGCCTTTGCCTTTCACCTTCAAAAGTAGTCATCTTCTACTGTAACTTCCACCAGGGCGATTCAGCTATTCACACACTATTGAGGACCTACTGCATGCGAGGAGCAGTTCTGGGTGCTGACGATACCGTTATTAAAAATAAAAAAGTTCCTGTTCCCATGAAGTGTTTAGTGGCAGGAGACACACGATAAACAAAAATACAGTGTGATGGGCGATGGCATTTGGGGAAAAATAATAAAAGCAGAGTAGGAAAAATCTGTAAGGGGAAGATGTGCTGTTTTATGCAGGCTGCTCCAGGAAGGTGATTGGAACCAGTGGGAGGGCTGAGCAGGGTGGCCCGGGAGCTGGCCTGAGGCTCTCCAGAGGAAGTGCATTCCAGCAAGAGCGGAGGCTTCCAAGGAAGAGCACAGCCACGTGCCCGTTCCAGGAACAGAGCACAGGACAACAGGCTGGTGGGGGGATGCCCCCCGGGGAGGAGACCTGCCGGTCGCGGCCAGGACTTGGCATTTCCTCCTGGGTGGAATGGAAAGAGAGCCGTGGGTGGCTTTGGACACTGGAGCAAGAATAGGCTGCAAGGTGGAAGCAAAGAAGACAATTAGGAGAAATACATTCTGCTTATTTGACAGGATGTGTTCCCAGATTTAAGATACAGAGTTTGAGAGAAAGAGCACAGTTAAATTTAACTTCAAGATTTTGGGGACTGGAAAAAAATCTGAGAATTACTGGAACACTTGAGATTTAAAAAAAAAAAAGCTATTTTACAAACACGGGGGAGTGCTGATTTAGACATATTACTGTTAAGATGCCCTTACAAATCCAAATGGACGTGTTGAGTAGAGAGCAGGATATCCATGTGCCGAGAACCAGTCCTTGCCTCACCGTGTGGTCTCTCAGAAGTAGGCTATCTTACCTGAACCACAGAACGCAGAGAACTACTTGAGTGGGGTTCCTCAGTTATCCCAAGGATTACTCCTGAATATAGTGCCAAATGCGTAGGAGAAAACTTAATTCATCCATGTAATGCATGATTTACAGTGATGGTCCTCAACGTGTGACCCAGTATATAGTGGCATTGTGTCACCTGGGAACTTAATAAAAATGCAAGCTGTTGGAATCCCACCCTGACTTAGGAAATCAGAAACTGGGGGGTAAAGAGCCCATAATCAAACCCTGAAGTTGACTTGAACCCCTGGCTTGATACCTTAGGACACCAGCATTTCATTTCTTTTGGACTCTGAATAGAAAACCATTAAACTATAAAACACAAGGATCCGGACCTATTGATACTCTAAAAGTAGTCATCTTCTACTATAACTTCTACCAGGGCAATTCAGCCATTGGTTTCATGCATTTGTGTATTTCTGATTGGCTCATGTGTCCAAATTTGCACTCTGCTGTTGTCTTGTCCAGTTGGGTGGTCTATGATGAGGAAGTGCTTATTTCAAATGTAGCACTAAAGGAGTTTTTAAACTGAAGAAATTTAGCACTAGCCTTGAAACATGGTCATAAAGATAATAATGGAAAGAACTCACAGTCCTAAAGTTATTTGATGATCTAACATACTGTATCCTGATTCTCTCCACTGGAGACTGTATCCTTGGAGAAGTATGATGTTTAGCTCCACATGAGTTTTAAATATTTTAAAGTAAATGCAAATCATTGCCATTCCTAAAGGAGTGAAATGAACCAAATCTGACAGTAGAAGTCATTCGTTAAGTGGATGTACATGCTATGTGCTAAGGGCTAAGTATTAAAATTTTTTCAATCTGTTTAATCAAGAAAGGGAATAAAGAGGACAGTTCCCTGACTGTCTTGGCACAGGTCTTGCTGCAAGCATTCTTTGAAGTCACTGTCTTGTTCCAACCCTAGCTCAGTTTCAACCCCTACTATTAAAGAAATGAAAAGAAGAGAACAGTTACTAGAATATACAGACAGAGTAAGCTGCAAAGAGAGGGCTGCCTGGTGGGAGCTGAGCACTTAACTCAGGGAGAGAGCGATGCCCTTGTGACCAGACAGGGAGGCCACAGGGGGGCCAAAATCTTAGCTGGTCTCCTAAAGGTATCACAGTCGGCTTCAACTTCAGCCTCCCTGCCTCCCAACCTGGTTTTATGTTTGTTTTTGTGTTTCACTGTGATGTGTCTAAGTGTGGGCTTCTTTTTATTTCTTTTAAGATATACTTGGCTTGTCTCTGTGAGCTGATGTTCCCATTGGTTCTGGAAAATGCTCTGTCAATTTCTCTTCCGTTTCATCCCTTCTCTATTCTCTCTGTTTTTGTGGAATTCTAATCAAACATATATTAAGTCTTCTTACTCTTATGTTTCTTTTGTCTCCTCCATATTTTCCGTACTTTTATCTTTATATGTTTCATTCTGTAAAACTCCTGACCTTTCAACTCACTTTTTCTTATCTATATCAAATCTGCATTTGACTTTTAAATCATGCTTATTGCATTTTTCATTTCAAAGTATTCTAATTGGCTCTTTTACAAAGCTGCAGTGTTACTTTTTGTGGTTTCCTCTTTCCTCTAGCTATTTCCAAGCTTTTCTGTTACCTTTTTAAATAGAGTAATCAGAGCTGCTTCTGTTCCCCATGTCTGGTAAGTCCAATATTTGATGTCTTTGCAGCTCTTTTTCATATGTACAAGATAAAACCCGCCTATACAGGTTTGCCTTCCAAATAAGCATCTTTAATTGTATATTAATTATCAGCAACAGCAGGTCAGGGTTGGGGACAAGGTTGGCTTCAAACAAATCTTCTGCCTCCCTCTGATCCATGGTATCTCCTTTGAAGTTAATGAAAAATTGTACTTGCTGAATGCCAAGAAAGACAAAAATTGGAATGAATGAATGCATGTATGGTAAGAATGGGAGAGACCAAAACATCTTCAATAAATACCCAAGTGATAATCCTAAACTGAAAACTAAATAGCAAGAAAGAACATTTTTGAAAGTAGATTAATATTCACCGAACACCCAGCACAGGTTAGTCACTTTAGAAACCAAATTAAATGATTCCTCATCTATCCTCAAGTAGGGAATGTCTTCAGTTTATGGATAAAAACTAAGTTTCAACAAATTTAGATGATTTGCCCAAGGTTACAAAGTAAGTGGCAGATCTGAGTTTACAATACAAATCCAAAAGCAAAGTTTACTATTTACTATCCCTAAATTAAAGTCATTAGCCCCGAAGAAGCAGGACAAGGTGGAAGCTAAAAACATGAGTCACTTAAACCAGAATGGAGATTGGAAGAGAAAATACGTTGCGTAATTTCAGCGATTTCCTTGTTTGGGAAACTCTTCAGTTTGTTTCCAAGGAAAATGTAGTTCCTTTACCTCTGGCTGACTACAGCCGGCCTGGGCAAGTTCCCGAGGTGCCCAGTCTCCCCTCATATTGGGATTGGAGGAAAGCCGTAACATGAAGAAGCCTTAAGAATGAGAAACATCAATCATTTTGCTCACTTGCCCCCTTCTAAGGATCAGTTTTTCAAAACGAACTGCATGGTTTTCTGACCCTTTGAGCCACTTCATATTACATTTTATAAATGTGCCATTTCAGAATTATAAAGTAGTAGGGCTAATGCTTCCTATTTTATTGAAAAAGTAGCAGATGCAGGGAAGTCTAATCACTTGTGTAATCTTCACTTTATATTCAAATCTTCCAGAAGTTATACTCATCTTCAGTTGAGCCCTGCAAAGGAAATTTCCCGCCTAGGGCCAAGTGAATCCTATTGTCTGTCTGTTCAGAAGATCAGGACTTAGAACTAAGAGCAAAATGCATTATCCTCTGGCTCCTTTCTTCCACTAAATTGTTGTGATAATCTGGTTTCTGTTTCCTCATTTGTAAAATGGATGCTGTAAGAAGTATTTGATTTCCTAGGTTCTTTACTCTCCCTGATTACATGAGTTTGATTTCATTTCAAATAATGTATATGTGACTATATATTTTGTACCAGGCTTTGTGATAATCAAAGATAATACAGAAATTAATTATGTTCCCTTCCCAACCTTGAGAAACTTGAATTCAGGAGAGGAAAGCCATCTAAACACATAATTTTCCTGTAGTTAGTGCAATGTCCTTAGGTAATAAACACAGTTGTAATTTATATTTTCCCCCTTTGAATATTCTTATCTATGATAAAAACTTCAGACTAATCCCTTACAATGTTCATTGGAGGCCAGAGCATCCTGTTTCAACATATACCAGTCATAAAATGAAAAGTCTAACGTTAAACTCATTTCTTTCAATGGGCTAAGGCTTGCCAGCTGGGTGCAGGGTGTGGATGTCAGATGGTAACAGGATGTTGCAAATACTTTGTACACAATACCTTGAAGATCAGGGGAGTGATCACTCCCCATTGAGAAACTTCTGTCAACCTTGCAGCTGCTCAATGGCCAACCCTCCCCAGCACCTCACAATTAAGGCAGATGAAATGCTTACAGAAACTGCCTGTCTGGAAGGGGTGAGCTCATGCCCCAGTGACTGGAATGACCTCCAGGCAGTTCCCAACCCCCACAAGTAAGAGCTGCAGCGGAGAGGATTGAGCAATACCTATCATCACACCATGGCAGGATCTAGGAATGGGGACCTACGTTAGTTTTGTGTTTTTGTAATCCAACTCCAAGTGAGATGCTAGATAGAAACATCCCACAGCTAGAGGAAATCCAGGATATCGCTGGACCCATCCTCTTTCGTTTATAATGGGGAAACTGAGGCCCAGGGAGAGTGGTATCGTCTAAGGTCACACTGCCATGCAGGACAGAGCCAAAACTAGAGCTCTTGCCTTGTTCAGATTTGAGCTCCTCCAAAGCCCTACACTGACGCAGCTTCAAGAATGACCTCCAGCCTTAGATTTCCCTGGAATTCATTATTTTTTAAAGAAGACAGCTACCAGCAAAAGTCTTTCACAGCTCTTCCTTTTCCTGCTTCTCAGCTTCGGCCTAGAGCTGTGAAATAGCTCCCCATAGCACTTTACTGACCCTATCTTCTATTTATTATGGAATTTTGCATCGATTTTGTTTTTTTTAATATTGTCTTAAAATGTTACTTACCATGATCAATGAATTTTTTTTGATGCTCCCTTATAAGTTGTGTCCCAGATGAGTGCCTCATGGCCGCCTCCTCGTTCCCAGCCCCGTTGCTAGGTTCCAGGGCACCTTCATGCAGAGCAGCAGGGAACTGCTGGCAGTCCGCTCAGCGGGACGCAGGGTCTGTGATGGACATTTCATGGGAGAGGCCGACAGAGAAGCTTCCGAAGGAGAGGCAGGAGATGCTCAGGAGCCTGGTCTCTCCAGGACCACGGATGCCGAGAAGGAGAACATGAGGATAAGCTAAGCTATGCCAGTCGAACGAAGGGCCAGCTTTGGGAAATCTCCAACAGTCACTGTGAACCGGCCCCTATAAACCCGTGGGTGGGGGGCATTCCCAAGAAGTTTTGCCCAAATTCAGAAGTAGAGGGCTCCATCTGTAAGAAAGCAGGGAAGGCCTCTGCCAGCTGTACTTTCTAAACATTGGCTCTGAAGCACGACGGTAGCTCTGGAAATTATCGGCCTTGATCATAAAACTAAGTGTGGCATCTAGGGGAAGGCATGCTGGGGACTAGCCAGCCAAAGGAAGAAGGCATTGCCCATGGGTGGCTGGGCAGGGGGGCTGCCACTCGGTTGACCCCGACTTGTCTGAGCTGGAGTGAAGCCCCCACAAACTCTCTCCTGCTTTCATCTGGCTACTTTTTTTTTTGTCCTAATGCATGTGAATGTCTCGAAGGCCTTCTCAGCTCACTATTACCAGCCTGGAGCTAGATGGATACTCAATACATGGCACTGAATAAAGGAAAGAAATGAGTTTAACCATAGCAGCAAACTTTTTCTGGAAAAGGCCAGAAAGTAAATTTTTCAGTTCTGAAGGCCATAGGGTATCTCACAACCACCCAGCCTTGCCTCCGCAGCAGCCACAGACGACAGCAAATGAGTGGGTGTGGCTATTTCAGGAGTGTATTTATAGTCCGTGAAATTTGAATCGCATAAAATGTTAATGTTCCATAAAATGTTATTATTTTTTTAGTTTTCTTCAACCATTTAAAAATACAAAAAAAAATTATTAGTTTATGGGCCACTTTGCCAATTCCAGCAAAACTTGTACATTCCACTCCCATTAAACCAAATACTTTTTACACAATACCTTTAAACTCCCATTAAACCAAATACTTTGTGCATGATGCCTTCTTATGTTTCAGTCTGAATGTAAGCCAAATGCCACCTTTCCCAGAAAAAGTGGCAGTTGTGTAAAATAAGAATCCCTAGAAAAAGATAAATGAATGTGAAGTAAAGGGTGTTTATCTAGTTGGGGAATTCTAAACATCAGGATGCAAAGATTAGGAAGAGACATTTGTTTTGGAAGTTTTGTTAGGTGATTAGGTTATTTTTTGTGACATTTTCTGTTTTTTTGGGGTAGGTTAATTTTGTTTTTTTATTGGTTTTATTATTGCTGTTGTGTATTTTCATTTTTGCAAGGAGGACTTGCAGAACTAAGGAATTTCATTAATTCAAACTATTTCTCTAGCACATTAATATAATAATTTATTGCACAGGGCTTTGTAGTTTATGAAGTAAATTATTTTCTCATAACTCTTCCAACAGTTCTGTGGAGCAGACAGAGCCCATGTTATTAGCAGTATAGCTAAGTTTTGGGTGAAGACAGGAGAGGCTTGAATACCTGATAAAACATGCACAGCTTGCCCACGTCCAGTCACAATATGAAAAGCCCATGGCTGGTTGGCATTCAATCCCAGTCTGGCAGTTCAGTTTGGAGCCTTGTCTATCTGTCACTCTGCCTCCGGCTGCAGCGACACCTAGACCAGGTGTCATGACCTATATAGGGGCAAGTAGGTTGTGAGGCCGGAGTCACACAGGTCCAGAGTACAGGCAAAGAAGCAGTAGCCAGCAGTTCTACCACCCTGGGGTCTGTAAGGGCCTTGGCCCCAGTGGTGATGGAGGGGCTGCCCTGTAGCCATGCTGATGGTCCCAGTCCAGAGAGGTTTGCAGCACTAAAGGGATCAACACCGCACGTGGGAAATACCAGACGCAGAGTATCCTAGAACCTTTCAAGTCCCTCCTTACTCCAACAAACAGAATAGGCCAAAAATAAATAGGTCACGCTTATCCATAATGAGCAGTGCCTCAGAAGACGCTGGCAGAGCCAAGGGGCACTCCCCCAGAGTAGCAGCTGTGGGGCAGCCTGGCTGCAGGGGTGTGTGCAGGTGCCCAGCAGAGCCGGAGAGCTTCAGTGGGGAGCTGCCGTGGTAACAGCTGTACACAGTGAACTGCTCCTTCCTCAGGGTCTCCAAACCCTAGGACATGAGAAAGCTGGAGGGTACCTGGTGACTCACGTTGTCCTAGAGGAGAGTTACTCAACTGCGCCTTCTGTTTGACCCTGCAGTGCCTAATGGGTGTAAACTAACAACAGTCACATTAAATATTTATGGTGCCAGCTCATCTGTGTCTCTGAAAAGTAAGCAAGGAAGCCCCAAGTTAGAATTCTTCTCATGCTACTCAGAGGCTATAATATTTTCCTGGCTTTCCATCCCTGTCCTCTCAGGATCTGTATCAGAATTTAACAGTGAGAAATAAATCATTAGTTGGAAGTTGCACTGACTAGAGGATTCATTGAAGTAAGCAAGGGCATCAGCTGTCTGAACTTGCTTAGGAATTCCACCATGCATCTGAAGACCACATCAGTAATAAATTCAAATAAACAGCCATCTTAAATAAGAGATGTATCAATAATAACATAAGGCACATTTTCAGGTCCTACTGTGTGTCAGGCACAAGGCTTGAGGCGTCACCTACTGTAGCTCTAATCCTCATGTTGCATCTGTAACAAAGCCAAGATTAGAAAGACTTCGGTGCAGGGACTCTGAAAGGAAGCTGCCAGTTTGAATCCTGGCTATGTGATCTTGGAAAAGAAGGATTAATACTAATAATAGTTTACTCCCTGTAGCAGGTAGAAGGGGGGCCCCTCCCTCTGCCAAAAAAAGATATGTCCACATCAAATCCCTGGATCCTGTGAACGAGACCTTATTTGGAAAAAGCATCCTTACCGATGAAATTAATGCTCTTAAACTGAAACCATCCTCGATTATCCAGCTGGGTAATCTAATGACAAGTCACGTCATAAGAAAAAGGCATAGAGAGATTTGAGACAGACGAAAGGAGAATACACAGAGGGGGAGGCCGTGTGACCACAGAGGCAGAGGTTGGAGGGAGGGAGGGGCAAGGCCACCAGGCAAGCTGACAGCTGCCAGAAGAGGGGAGAGGCGAAGCGTGGGCTCTCCGCAGAGCGTGCAGCATGGCAGCAGCCCTCGTGGCACCTGCACTTCAAACTTGGGGCCTCCAGAACTGCAAAAGAACACATTTCTGTTGTTTTAAGCCACCCGGTTTGTGCTAATCTGTTATGGTAGCTACCGAACCCAGACATGAAGTCATGGTGAATAATTTAATAGTATTAAGTTATACGTAAAGCACTTACAACAGAAACTGACACACAATAAATAAGATGTGGCTATTGTTTCTATCATCCCCCATTTTAATGATGCAAAAATAGATAGACATCCTTACTGGGAGTTTTCACAAATGGGAAGAGGCAAAAGATGTATTTAAAACTGGTTCATATGATGGGAAACCCAGATTAGATGAAGTCTCAAATTTACATTTCCAGCTCAAGGTCCTGATGAAAATAATCAGCCTGCTGAAAACAATTGGAGACTTTTGACTTCCAAACAGCCTGAGTGGAGGGGCCTTTTGAACACTAAGGATATTCAGCAAAGACCCCAAGAGGATTGTGACTTCTTGTCAGGGACAAGAACCGAGTCCCAGTGAAGGAAATGTCTTAGCCAGATATCTTGCTGCTAAGGAAGTCCCAGCAGAGGTGCCTGAAAAGCATCTCAGTTAAAGCCCCCTGGTGAAGAGATCCGTGCACGGAGGCAATGCCCCTGGGTGCGGAATACAGCTGTGTGTTTGAGCGTGGCCACCCAGCGGGGCTTGAGCACTTCACTGCAACTCTGTCTGGAGACTGGAGTGCCCAAATGTGGTGTGGGGAGGGCACCTTTCTACTGCCGGGCCCGCCAGGAAAGGCCTTTGCATCACCTTACGCTCAGGCCTTAAAGTTCACACTTGGGATTTCAGCCTGGAGCTGGACTTCCCACCATACTTAGAGGGAAATTATAGCTTAAAATGTTTATATTATTATGTAATAAAATGGTCTAAAACCAACGTTCTAGGCTTCCACCTGAACAGCATAGGAAAAAGAGAGCAAATAATACCCAACTAATGAGGAGAAGAAATTAAATAAGGAAAATGTAAACCAGTAAAATAGAAATGGGTAACAATAGCAAAAAAAAAGCAATAAAACCCAAACTGTTTTTGCTTTAAAAGATTGTTAAAATTGATAACACTTTATGACACTAATAAAGAAAATACATGTCCATTAACAATATTAGTGTTGTAAGTTGGAGCATTACTAGAGATCGTACAGGTATAAGACTGCTAAAACAGGAAGAAATACGTGCTCTGCAGATGGCATTGAAATGGCAGGCACCGAAAGCTCCCACGAATGACTCGGACAGGGTACTGATAGGAGGGGCTCCAAGGCTGGCAGGATATAGACACCACCTCAACCAAACCTGTCAAGACACTTTGATTTATGCTACTAGAAAGAGGAAATACAGCAATTCTTATCTGAGGTTCTGGAAAGGACTAGCGAAAGAGAAGCCATGTGAACTTGATTTTGTGGAATGTGTAAAACGGCGCAGGAGAGTTCTCCAGGTGTAGGAGGCGGCTTGGAAAAAACAAACAAACAAACAAACAAAAACACCTAAAGTTGTTTAATTACTGATTAGACAAACACAACTTGGGTATCTGATGGTGAGTGAGTTCCAGCCTCCTAACTGTCTGCCTGCTTCCGCTCCAGCCTGCGTGCGTCATCTATTGCTGTGTGAAGATGCACAGGTTAGGACAACAGGATGGATGGACTCTCTCACGGATTCTGTGCATCAGGAATCCTGGTGCAGCTTAGCCAGGTGCCTATGAGTCCGGGTTTCTCACAAGGCTGCCATCAAGCCTATCCCCAGGGCAGTAGGGGTGCCTCAAGCCTTGAGTGGGGGCAGACCTGCTACCAGCTCTCTCAGGAGCTGTGGGTAAGCTGTAGTAGGTTGGAGACATCAGTTCCTGGCCACATGGGCCTCTCCATCTGGCTAGTCACAATGTGGGGGCTTGTTTTCCCAGAGTTAGGGTTCAGAGAGAAAGAGAGCGCATACTCTCCTGCTCTCTGTTCCTGAAGCCACATATTTAGTATTTGTTA